GAATTCCCCAGCCAGCATGGCTGGCTGGGGAATTCTGGGAGTTGAAGTCCACTCATCTTAAAGTTGCTACAGTTGAGAAGCACTGCTGTAATCACTAATTTAGCAACATGACCTCTCAAAATATTTGCAGGACAATTCCATAGAATTTAAATGTACCAGATAGTACTTAAATTTAATGTGATGGCATGATGAAATAATTCGAAACCAAAAAAAAAGTGTGGTTATAACAGCTATGATGCTTGCCATATCCCTATGCATAAGGAAGGGATCAATATTAATACACAACAAATAATAGACATGGTCTACTTAGGTAGTACCATTGTTTCTTCTCTGTTAGGTTCACCTAGCAAGGCTGAAAGCCCCATTGCACTTTGGAAATCAGACCATGCAAGTCAGATTGAGGATAATGTATTATGGGAAAGGTTTGAAAGGAAATCCATTTCTAAATCTGTGACAGATCATTCACTAATATTCAAAATGGTTACATTTATATTCATGGGGTTTGAAACATAGGCAACTAGCTTTCATTTTTCTTATTTCAGGTACTCCCGATGGCCTTGTTGATGTCTGTACAGGAGTTCTAGGAGGACCTTTGGTTTGTTATGACGCTAATAATGTGGGATACCTTTGGGGTATTGTGAGTTGGGGTGAAAATTGTGACAGGAAAGGGCATCCTGCAGTTTATACAAAAGTGGCACATTATTTTGACTGGATTGCCCGTCACACTGGCGTGTCTGTCATTTCCCGATATAACGTATGATTTTTGCCATACTTTCTTTCTCCTTGCTTTGAAGAAGCATATAGATTAGTTAAAATACTCGTTGCTCAATTTGACAAAAGTTAAGCATATTATGTCCAATTTATATCAACAGGAAAGATAAGATACAGGTAATCCTAAAAATGCTTTCTCGGAATTAAATTGTCATAAATTCAGTGAGCTATACTCCTAAATGTAATGCAGGAGACTTGAACTAAGTCAAAAGCTATGGGATTTAGTGTGTTTATTTGATTCTGGATTATTCCCCAGAAGATCAGCTCTAACAATTTGTGAAACTCTGCAACTTTCTGCTTTTGGTATATAATCTTAATGCGCATCCTAATAAAAGTGGTACATTCAGCAGATATTATGTTTTGTCAAGTAGGTTTTGTATTAGATTCACTAAGTGACCACACTATTGTAAGGATGACATAATCAGAAATAAAGGTTGTCCAAGCATTTTAGCATGTAGAACTAGGATTATCCATCTGCTACATTTCAAATTATTTCAGACCTGCTAAACTCTAACACAAAGGACCTCTAAGTATATCAAAGAACACATACGCTTGCTTAAATCGAAACACGGTATCAGGTAGTCATGGGGTTAAACAACACATGGCATTGGAAGCAAATGTGCGTGCCCATGTTTGAGTTTTAAAGCATTCATTGTCACGGTAGGATAACATGTTCACATCTGTTGAACAGACCGCATACTTTTTATACAAATAATAAAATAAATAATATATGTGTGTTTTCAAATATATTAACTACCTATGGATTAATATGCCTTCTACTCTGAATGTAAAACATGAAAAGATATGCCAAAGGCATTGCTAATTTCAAAATAGTGAAATGGCAGAATTTTTAAATTTCAGTACTCTAAATTTTTTAAATGAAAGTATTGTATCTGCAGAAATATAAAACATCTTTGCACATGCTCACAATATCTATGCTTTTTAGGGGAGTAAAGAAGAGAAACAGGGAAAGGAGGCATCCTTTAATATTCCATTTTGTGGAGTCCTTGGGGTTCTCTGAGCTTGGTTGTTTTCTTGCAAACGTTTCATTACCCGGCTAGGTAACATCTTCAGTGCTAGAATGGAGCGGGGTTTGCAAACCTGAAGGACTCTACAGTTCAACCCTGAGCTACAAGAGCTGATATAGCATTCAGAAACTTGGAATTGGTACCTACTGTGCTATCACAAGTGAATGGGTGAGTAAGTTGGTGGGAAGCAAACATGGTGAGGTGACATGTCTTCATCTCTCTATAGGAAAAGAAACTCCTGGTATTCATGTGTTAGATTAAGGACCAAGGTCAGCCGTACCATGGGACAGAATGAAGCAGCTGCTTTGAGCAGTAGTGAATTGTGATCAAACCCTCCTTTGCTAATCTCCTGACATTTCTTTCATTCCATCTGAACTTCTGAAACACTTCTTTCACTCCATCCTTCAGATGGAATCTGTCACTCCATCTGAAGGGATCATCAGAGCAATGCACTTCTTGCTGCCTGGAGTAAGGCTTCTCTCTTTTCTTTCTTATTTCTAAGAAAATAAGAAATAAATAAATAAATAAATAAATAAACAAACAAACAAACAAATAAGAAGGATATAAGAAAATAAGAAAGAAATAAGAAAATGAGAAATGAGAAAAGAAATAATAAAATAAGAAACAAGAAAAATAAGAAACTAAGAAATAATTCTTATTTATACGAAAACAATTCTCTTTCTTATAGGAGAGAAGCAATGCTTCTCTCTTCTCTTATTTAAAATGGCAGAGCCCAAAGGTGTTTTATATATATTTCTAGGGCAGACAGATGTAATTGAATCACAAACGCGAAAAGAGCAAGCCAAGCAGAAAACAAACGGAGCCAGTCATGAGTTCATTTCTGAAGCAGAAAACAAAAGGAGCTTGACAGGATTAGGATGTTTCTCCTTCAGCAGTGGAGGTGCTAATAGGTACAAGATTAATAGGTATCCAGTGCTGGAGCCATTGTGGTGGTCAGCAAAAGGCAAGTTCAGGAGAAAGGAAAATTAGGAAAAAGAGCATTCATTTAAGAAAAAAATCTGGACTAGTATTTCAGGGTAGAGAAGGAGAGAAGCCCAGGCTTCCACAGAGGTGAGGAATCCAACAGCTGTCCCAAAGAACTATAGGCATATGGTGAAGATGAATGACTCACTGCTGAGAGAAATGAAGTCAGCAATTTGCAGACCAGACAGGATATCAAGGGAAGTGTGTTCTTTCCCAGGTGCAAAGATGCAGGATGTGAAAGGGAGCTGACTCACTAATCAAACTTGAAATGTAATAATGTGGATAATCCACTACCCAATGCATTCACTATTGGTTGAGCAACTATACTCAATGTATGGTCCTTAATGGATCTTTGTCTACTTGGAGGAAGGTATACGGTGGGACATCTAAGGGTGGGACATCTAAGGGTTCCGTCTTCAGCTCAATGCTATCTTCAGCTGCATCAAAGGAGGTATAATGTCAAGATCATGGGAAGTGATCATTCCTCTATGTGCTGGTCAGACTGCACCTGGAATATCATGTCTGGTTTTGTTCTCGGCAATACAAGAAGAATGCCGAGGAACTGGAAAGAGTGCAAAGAAGAGTAAGAAAGATGGTCAGAGCTTGGAGAATGAATCCTATGAAGAACAGTTAAAAACTGGCTATGTTTAACCTAAAGAAGAAAAGGCTAAAGAGAGACATGACACAGTCTTTCAATACTTGTCATAGGGTGTGAATGTATTCTGTATAGTGCTTGAGGGTAGGACAAGAACCAGTGGGTAGAAATAAGAATGAGATGCAAACTCAAAATAAGGCATTTCCTGACTGTGAGAGCTATTAAGCAGCAAAATTCCTGGAATTTTGAGTGCTCCATCATTGGAGACTTAAAAAAAAAAAAAAAGTTGTCTGAGATGACCTAAGGACATGTCCAGAGAAGGATTACCAAGACAGTGAAAGGACTGGAAACCAAGTCCTACAAGGAGTAGTTAAAAGACTAGGTATGCTTAGCTTGCAGAAGAGAAAGTTGAAAGGGTACATGGTAGCTGTCTTCAACTACAGTGGGGCAAAAAAGTATTTAGTCAGCCACCAATTGTGCAAGTTCTCCCACTTAAAAAGATGAGAGAGGCCTGTAATTTTCATCATAGGTATACCTCAACAAATACTTATTTTCCACCATGATTTGCAAATAAATTCTTTAAAAATCAGACAATGTGATTTTCTGGATTTTCCCCCCCATTTTGTCTCTCATAGTTGAGGTATACCTATGATGAAAATTACAGGCCTCTCTCATCTTTTTAAGGTTGAGGTATACCTATGATGAAAATTACAGGCCTCTCTCATCTTTTTAAGGTTGAGGTATACCTATGATGAAAATTACAGGCCTCTCTCATCTTTTTAAGGTTGAGGTATACCTATGATGAAAATTACAGGCCTCTCTCATCTTTTTAAGGTTGAGGTATACCTATGATGAAAATTACAGGCCTCTCTCATCTTTTTAAGGTTGAGGTATACCTATGATGAAAATTACAGGCCTCTCTCATCTTTTTAAGGTTGAGGTATACCTATGATGAAAATTACAGGCCTCTCTCATCTTTTTAAGGTTGAGGTATACCTATGATGAAAATTACAGGCCTCTCTCATCTTTTTAAGGTTGAGGTATACCTATGATGAAAATTACAGGCCTCTCTCATCTTTTTAAGGTTGAGGTATACCTATGATGAAAATTACAGGCCTCTCTCATCTTTTTAAGGTTGAGGTATACCTATGATGAAAATTACAGGCCTCTCTCATCTTTTTAAGGTTGAGGTATACCTATGATGAAAATTACAGGCCTCTCTCATCTTTTTAAGTGGGAGAACTTGCACAATTGCAACTAAATTGCAACTTAGGCTGACTAAATACTTTTTTGCCCCACTGTATCTGAAGGGCAGCCACACTGTAGAGGGTTTGGACTTATTCCCACTTGCTCCAGAGAATAAGACTAGAATTAATGGGATGAAACTTCAAGGATGTAGATACAGATTAGACATTAGAAAGAACCTCTTGACAGTAAGGGCTGTCAGGTTGCTGCACGGAGTGGTTTCTTCCCCTTCACTAGAGGATTTCAAACAGAGGCTGGATAGTCATCGGGGATGGTGTAATGAATCCTGCAGTGTGCAGGGGTTGCCCTTGGTCCCTTCCAACTCTATGATTCTATAATTTCTGCCCTGGGCAGTGGGTTGGACCAAAAGACCTCCAAGGTCCTTTCTGATCCTATGATTCTGTGAAATAATCACGGAGCAGCTAGCTAGACGTGCACATGGTTAAATGCTCAGTTTATTACTTCAAAAGAAATCATCCTTTCTCACAAACATATGGTGACTATTCACACATAAAAATAATACTTCATAAAAACAAAGTCCATGTATATTTCTAGTCATGATCTGCTATGATAGAAATGAAAGTGAAATTATGTGTAGTTCTGAGTATTTTTAAAATAAAACATGTTTTACCATTTCCCCCCCAGTTATCTGGATTACAGTAATGATAAAGCATGTGGTGATGGGGAGGGATGGAAGAAGAAATAAGAAAAAAATACGTGCTTGCTGGAACCTCTGGAAGTTTTAGTTTAACAACTTAATTTCCTAACTTTGGTCTCACAACAACACCTTACAACTCCCAGAAATCCCAACCAACATGGCCAGAAGTTAGCTAATCACATTGTCCTACAGCAAGTTAGGTGATCTCAGCCCATGTGAATCGTTTATGGCTCCGTGAGTCAGGCGACCCCTTGAGATGTCAGTTCGACGGGCCATGTCTGAAAACATCCGCTTTTCAAAGTTAGCAAGGTAAGGAAAAGTGCAAATAAAAAGGAAGACAGCTTTTTAAAGTGGGTAGTTAAAAAAAAAAAAAAAAAGACCGGCCCAAAGTCCCTCCAACTTATTGTACCTCTTTTTTCCGCGGAAGAAAAACAGGGAGGAGGGGGAGAGTCATTGACACTACGAAACTGATTCTGATCGGCCCAGCGCGCTCCCTCAAGCGGAGATTGTAGAAGAGCCGCGACAGTCTAGGCTAGGAAAAAAAATGAGTTTGTAGCACCTTTTCCGACTAACAAATTGTATGAAAAGGCACCCTAAGCTTATCGCGAACTACACCTCACTTTATCGGTGCATCTGGTGCAATGTGTGGTTGGAAAAGGTGCTACAGACTGATATTCTGCCCTCAAGAGGAGGAGCACCACGCGCAAATGTTCATAGGTGACAGAGGGTCTTCACGCGACGGATCAACTGGGAAGCGAGGCAGGCTTCGTACTGTTTGGGGTTCTTCCTAACAATAAATGTGTGTCTTCGAGTCAGTTTTGACTATAATCACGGTAGAAAACTTTGAATGCCAGAGAAAGCCGCTTCTGTCTCTTTAAGGCCCTTGGAGGAAATCCGTCCTAAAGCGCTTTCCAGATAACTGTAGTCGCCGTTCCGCCTGACTCTTTGCGCCACGACTTCTTTTCTTGCTTTCCAAAAGATTGGCAACGCCCCCTTCTTTCCCTTCCGCCCTGACGTTCATGGGGCTGGGGCGGGGCTGGGCGCGCTGACGGTGTTGTGGAAACAGGTACAGAAAGCTTTTTGCGGCATGGTGGACGTTCCCCGGCCTCGGCTGACTGTAGGTGCCAGGACTCTGAGCGGCCGCTATCCGCGTGGGTGAGGGGAGCTACTGGGGCGGCGTGCCCGTGATGACCTGCCCACCAGCAGTTGGCGAGATCCAGCCTTCGCGTTTCCCGGAACTTTTCGAACCCTGCTGTGCCCAGCGTTCCAGAACGCAAAGCGACTGGAGCTTTCGTGCGTGGGAGTTCTAGAACTCCGGCCCGCGGGCGTTCGGAGAGGATGGTAAGGCGAGCGGTCCTGTTGCCGCTGCTCGTGACCGGGGGCTTACTCGCGATGCTGCTAGAGCCGGGCCGGTGCCAGGAGCCTGAAACTCCGGACTGGAGGATGACACTGAAGACCATCAGAAACGGCGTTCATAAGATCGATACTTATCTAAATGCTGCTCTGGATCTTCTGGGAGGAGAGGACGGGCTCTGTCAATATAAATGCAGTGATGGTAATAATAATATTAGAAGAAATATGTGCTTGTTATGTTTGACTGCTTATTATAAAGCCAAAAATGTTTTATGAATTTAAATTGATTTTTTTTTCTATTCAAAGGCTTGCTAAGAGAATGGCATGAAAACACATGGTCATAAATTGTTTTTGCTAAAGCCAGCCAAACCTAAGGTTTGATCAGTGAGCATCCCAGCCAGTTTCATAACAGAGGAAAAAAATAGGGTTTAAATATCATAAATATGTTTATTCAAACCAGAAAGTGTCTATAGGTTGAGTTGTCAAAGAGATGTAAGCAGTAATGATGATAAACTGGAAGATGTTCAGCATAATCCTATACTTGACTATTTCAGAAATAATCCTATTAAATTTAGTGGAATTTAATCCCAGGTAAATGGTTGTAGGATTGAAGTCTTGTATTTGTACTTTCAGGGTGCCCAAAATATTTGCGTTTAAAATACTGGCAATAACAATTAGTATATTGTACTCCTGTCTCCTTACTGCATACAACATAGCTATTGTTGTCATATTTTATCATGATTTCAAACATTTTCAGTTTATTTTATCTTGTGAAAATGCCAAGGATTATATTGCAGAAGGAAGAAGGGATTATTTGTGTAGGCATCAATTCTGTTAAACGGATTAGAAAATTTGGAAATGATTGTGGAAGATAATCCATTCTTCTTTCAACAGTACTGAAAGATTAGGTTAACTAATTGAGACCCAGTTTTAACATCTTTATTGCTTTAATTCTTTGAACTTATTGGGGCTTTTACAACCTTAATGTTATGTCCAGTATCATTAGGGGAGGCTTGGCAAGTTATTAGAGATGAACTTCTGTATATACTTTAAAATCAATCTAAAGTAAACTAATGGGACTTTATTAACATGCCCAAATTGAATATCTACAAAAAACCTGACTGGCAATTTAATTTCATAATGGGTACCCATTATGTTGTGGGTACCCATTATGAAGTGCAGCACTTCAAAAACAAGATAACTCCGTAGACAGCAGTGATCCAATTGTTCACTGTTTGAGAAATGCATTGCAGTTTTATATTCATTCATCTGGCAAACTCACTCAACTCATGGGATGTGATTTCTGAATAGAAGTCTACAGTGTTATGAGATTCAGTTGTTTAGCATATCATTTTATATCATTTTTATAATGATATAAATTTATAATGATATAAATCATTCTTATATCATTAAAATAAGATTAGATTATCTTGCTAAATTGAGACAATAGATGAAGAAGTGATTTGGGTGTTGAGCTAGGGGACTCCAGTTCAAATCCAGACCCAGTGGAAGCTCAGGGGATGCCTTTCATCCCAACCCATGTACTTCACAAGGTAGTTGTTAAGGGGAAAAGTTTGGAGGACATAGTGCTATGTATGTTGCCTTAACGTGATACATAACTAATAAATAAATGCTCATATATCTATAATAATAGATTAATAATTTATTATTCTTGTCTTGAGTGAGTCCAGAAAAAACAGAAGCATTTTACGTGTTCTAAGCATTTAATATTTTACAGGATATAAACCTTTACCTCGCTATGGCTATAAACCTTCACCACCCAACGGATGTGGTTCTCCACTCTTTGGAGTTCATGTAAGTTGCTAACACAGATGTGCAGAATGCTCCGTGTACAAACTGGTCCATTCACAGAACCATGGGTGGACTGTGCCCAAACACACATTTTGGATGTTTTGGCCTGTGCACAGAACAAAATGAAATGGTTTTGTTCCAGGCAGAAGTGGTGGTTTTGGGGAAGAGGGGAAAGCTCACAGGTATTGGCAGCTGAAGGGAGGGAGGGAAGGCAATGGGAAGATTGGGGATGCGTATGCAAGTGGGATATGCCAATCTGGGACTTTAGCAATGGCAGAGTGGGAGGGAAGGAATTGGGAAGATGGGGAGTGGATGGGTGATGAGATAGGCTGCTATGTGAAGAACAGGAGAGCAGGGACAAAGTGCAGCACCCTTGTCCTCCTCACCCTATCTCACCCAGATTTGTTTCACCCAGACCCAGAATAACCAAAGCTTTCTGAGTTTTGGTTCTCCTGAGCTGTGGCTGATCAGAGCGGTTCAGCAGAATATCTGTAATACGATTTTTTTACAGGTTCCATTTTGTGCACACCACTAGTGTCTAGTTAAAGACTGGCTCCTGCACACTGATTGAATGTATGCTCTGAAGAAAGTGACAGGGCTAAAATAGTCTATATCTCAGTTAAACTTCAATAAATGTACTTCTATAGAGAGTAGGCTATTTTTTTTTCTTCTTCTTCTTGGCATCCAGGCACTTAATTTTTGCAGTGTTTAGAAAACTAATGATTGGCCTCTTGCTATCAATTTTCACAGCGTAAGAACTGTAGGATTCTCCCAGTTTTCTGAGTCAACAGCATACCAAATCATAAATGCTAAATCATGTTACCTCTTATTCCAATATTTCTTGGTGTCTTATGAAAATATTCTTTATCTACCATGGCATATTTAATTTCCTCAAACTCTGAATTAAAGTAGACTTTTTCCTACTTTTGAGTAATATACAATTGTAGCACCAGAGAATAACTTGTTTGAGGTATAATACAGTAAATCAATCTAGTTCTGTTAAACTACAATTTGGGGAGCTCATATAAGTTCAGTGAAACTTCAGTTTAACAGACCAAGCTGAGATGGGTTGGGTTTTATTCTTGATTGTCCTTTAAAATAGAGAGTTTGCCATTCATGACAATGCCATTACGCAAATTATTTCATAATGCATAATCTGCATTCTGTCACTTGCACAATGACTTCATTTTGCATCATTTACATAATGGCATCTTTACATAAATTATATAAATACAATTTTGATCCTTGTTTATGAAGTCCATTGCACCGCGGTTTGCTAAATCAGACTTCTGATTTATTGTTCTGTAATTTGGTTTCTCTGATAAGTCTGTTAAGATTTCATCCAACTTTTGTGATTTTTAAGATTTGCACTTCTAATTCATTTGGTTTTCTTACTAAGTTTGTTTGTTCTTTTTTTTATGGCCCTCACAGAATGCCTCTCCCCACTATCCTGGAAATGTATTACCAATATTTGGCATCAAATTGCAAAGTACAAGTAGTGCAATTTCCTGTTGATGTAGCAGGCCAAAGAAATTAGGAGTGTGAAGCTTCAAATCAATTTACTGCACTTTAACCTGCTACATGTTGCCCCGTCTCTTCAGCTCAGTGCAAAAACCTGAACAATCTGACAGTTGTTTGACATCATTGCACTGCTACCACTTCCCTGTAGCTCCAGCTGCCAAAAAGTACAGTTAAAAAATTGTCCTTTCCCACTACCTCATCCTCCAAATTGCCATCTTCTCCTTAAGATGTGGTTTATTTATTGTTTGGAGGATGATTTACTTCTTTATTTTTTAATCAGTGCATTGCAGCAATGCGATCGCCTTTCATCCATTTTTGGGGCTCCTTCAGAAGAGACAATTAGTTAATTTTATGGGCTTGAAGCAGTTGACGTTTAACTCTCAAGATGCTAATCTCTAGGACTTGCTTCTCAGTTTGACATTGGCATTCCTTCGATGACAAAATGCTGCAATCAACATGACAGATGTTACGACACCTGTGGCAGCAAAAAACATGATTGTGATGAGCAGTTTCAGTACTGTCTTTCAAAGATCTGTAGAGATGTGCAGAAGACATTAGGCATACCTGAGTCTGTGCAAGGTAAGCCAGTCTTGAGAAATAGGGTATGATAGAGATTTACTGTGTTTATATAATGTGAGCAGAACTAAACAGAAATTTAAACCAGTGGGTACAGATTAATGTGATTGCATTATCTGCCATTTTGTTCTTCTACATGTTCAAACCCATAGGTATAAACTTATGTGCAGCTATTTAAAAGAAATCATGTTTGAATAAATAATATACTTAGAATCACACATTAATTTTGTTTAAAAATTCTTTAGATAAACCATCCACTTAATTTTCAGGATTAACTTATTTGTAGGCTAAATAAATAGTGTAGTGTAGTGTAGTGTAGGCTCTTCACTTCCTTTAAATAAATTGTGGATTTAAAAAATGTTATGCAAGGAAGAGGAGGGGATTTAAGACTAAATATTGAGAAGAGAAGAAAATGTCCAAGTTTTTATTTTGGTGTCTTTTGCTACTTAAAAAATCATTGTGTAGCTTCATAAACATATGTGTGATGATAATTTATTGGTATTATAGGAGTCATTAATCTATACTAATGGTTGTACATACATATATGCAGTAATATTATTGTGGTTAATACTTAATTCCTACTGTTTTGGTTTGTTGATTAATGCAGAAATATTTCAGATGGGGAATTAGGGAAATTAGCTGTTTGCATCACTCTTCAGATTACATATCTATACTCTTGAATTATTTATCCCCCTTCCCCCCCTTAGCTATCTAGATAAAGTCTACCAAGAAAGCAGTAATATGAGATATTACTTTTTTTTTTTACATTAAAGTAATATAGAAGACATTGTACATTATTTAGCTGCTCCAAAATAATTCTCAAAGTCACACCAATAGAATAATAAGATATATGATACATGGTTAGCAAGCTTCTTGTAAAAACTGCCAGCTCTAATTCTAAGCCTTGTTTGTAGATTAATTCCTGCAACTTCAGTTTGGGGAAAGGACACAGCATTCATTGTGATTTGATTCACCCGTTGCGCAAAGCTATGATTGCACTATGGTTTATTTATCTTTTCTCCCCCAGCAGATAACAACAGCTTTTCTTTATTGTACTATTAAAGATTTTCCCCCCATCTTGCAGCTTGTGAATCTACGGTGCAACTGGTGTTTGATGCAGTCATACATCTCGGATGCAAGCCATATCTTGACAGTCAGAGAGCTGCATGCATGTGCCAGTATGAAGTCAAAAGAGATCTGTAGCAAGATTTGTCTGAAGCAATAGAGCCCTGTGTTGTTACAAAGCTGTCCTAAAGATACAGATGAACATACGGATGGACTGGCTACTCATGAGGAGGAGACATTAATTTGTATATATTTTTATATAGCACTTCTTCCTTTCATCAGCTATGTATGCATTCATAATCTATAAGGATCAGTTGTACACCTCTTAGAGATGAAATGGATATTTTGGCAACTACCTTAAGTAGATAGGATTGTCAATGAATGCTGCTCTAAACTGAAAGAAGTGGATATTGAAGATGGCATGGGGTAAAGAAAAAAAAAGTAGGTCAATCCTTGGAGTTACAATCAATCAATATCTCTTCTGAGTTTGATTTTTCTTATAGAAGAAAAATACCTGAAAAGGCAAAACCAAGTATTTGAAAGACTTCAAAAAATATGACTGGCAATATTCAGTCATTTGCATACTGACATTCTATGATGCATGTAATCATATTTGGCCCTACCATAAAACAGCTGTTTTCCATTTCTCCAAGGGTATTGTAATTCTCTGAAAGCAAAATATAATTTTGTTAACTATTTTTAAAATATGTTCCATTGAAGAGAAATATCCTTCAACCAGAAAATTATTGATACTAACAAAAATATTTGTCCTTTACTGTGTATAACTGTTAAGCCTCTTTTATTCTGGGGTATCTGGAGTATCTCAAAATTTAATTTTAAGACTAATTTATCATTCTTTCTTGATGGTTATGAATTGCTTTGACAACAAGGGCTCTTTTTTGTGGGTTTTAATAATTTCATTGTCTTTTTGGCATCAAAGTTTGATATAGTTCTTATTCCCAAACTTTCTATAAATAATGACTACTGAGTCAAATTCTGCCTCATGTATTTGAGTACCAAAATGCTAAAAAAACCTGCTGAATTATTTGATATTACTTGAAAATTGGTCTTTGGTGTATTTTCTTCTGGTGCCTTTATTAATGAAACAGACATTTTAAAAGTGAATATGTGTAAAATAAAACTGTTTAGAAAGAGAAAAATTAAACACGCAAAACTGAATGTATGTCATGTAATTTTTCCAGCAACAAAATTTAAGACAGTAATGACAAGAAGAACTTACAGGATTCACTTGATAAGTTTTTACTTTCATTGCCTTCTGCCTTTTTGTATTTGTGTAAGGCTTGAGATAGTTTCCAGTTTCCTGATATCTGTAGCTGTTGATCCGTATGTGGAGAATTAATTTGCTCTTACTATAATAGCTTATAGCAATATCATAATGTTACTTAATATCTAACTTACCTAAAACTTTATGAGAGAAGTTGATCATTCCTTTGTGCTATGCTGGAATAGTGCAGAAATCCTGCCTTCTATCGCTTTGCCTCATGGGTTCTTGTGCACCAGAAAAAAGGAGAGTTGGAAATCGTCTTCCATTGCTTAGACACATTGCAAGTTTGCTATTATTATATGTTACTGCACCAGTAGAGTCAGTAAAGCAGGTAAGACGGGGTTCTGTGAATCGGAAACTATAGCTTCCTTATCTGGAGTAATTTATTCTGGTAGAATAGTTTAAGATTACAGCATATAATAGTGAACATCTAAAATCTAAAGTTGATGTTAAAGTGAATATTCTGGCAGCTATGAATATGCTATTAAGTACTTGTCAGGGTTTATCCAGATCACGGATTTTCCCATTCTTGCAGAGAATACTGCTCTTTCTTCTTGGTTCCACTATGTCGCAGCAATAAGACAGTATGAGCTGGTACATATGAAATGTCCTAAGACGCATTTAAAAATAAAGAGGGAAAAGCTTACATTCTTAACAGAAATATGCATTAGCTGTTATGGGTTGAAGATAAGAAATAATCCAAGCTGTCAGTGTAAGACCATTTTTCCTGGTAATTTTCCTCAGTACAACACATGTGGGTTTTTAAATTGTATTTATTAATTTAGGAAACATGAAGGCTGCCCCAGGCAGTCATGACTCTGGGTGGCTTACAAAATACATACTGTAATATACATACTGTAAATACATACTTACAAAATACTGTATTTTGTAAGATGCTTCTTTGCTTTTAATTCCTTACAAAATACTGTATTTTGTAAGGAATTAAAAGCAAAGAAGCATCTTTTGCTAAAAGAGAATGTCCAGCAAAAAGCCAACAGTCATTCAAAAGACTGTCTTCACTTTGAACTGGTGATTTGTGCATTCAGTAGTAATAATAGTTCAGTGGCAGTTTAAAATATTTGTGTGTGTAAAGTGTGGTTAAGGTATGGTTGGGCTGACTGCCGGTTTTGCTTCTGTACCTCAAGCTTCTGCTGACATAGGAAGGTTAGTTAAAGAAACCGGGGATGCTTTAGCAGCTAGGAATCTTCTAAAAGTTATAAGGTGCAAATATCAGAGCTCCTAGATGCATTTCCTGAGCATGCATGAACTTTTGCACCCACTCTAACCACATCCTCTGAACGATTTGGGGCAAGCTAGATTGCAAAGCCTTTTATGGAAAACCCCCAGGAGCAGATGAGAACTAGAAACTTGACTATTGATTTGTGCTGCTTAAGTTAATGTTTTGACAACCTTGGAAGGCGGGCACACGGGTGTGTGTGTGTGTCCCTCCCCCTAGATGCTTCCTGATGACAAAAAGGTATAAAAGCTGTTGTAAACTGTTCTGGGTGTGGCTATTCTCTGT